TATGTCCATTGGATCAGCATGAGTTCTACTTACACAAAAAAGCCTTAGGAAATTTTCTCTGGGGAAAAAAAAAAGACTTTCACTCATGGAGAGCATATTTATGTGAAAAAAATGTCTAATTCATTTGAGAACAAGTGCACTAAACAAAGTGATTATCAGGAAAGTCTTTGGATTTTTTTTTTTAAATGGAAATAAAGCACCTTTATAACTAAGGGCCAGATTCTGTTTTTATAACGAGGATTACTTTACTCAAGCAGTGCCACTGAAGTCAGAATTTGGCTCTTCAGTTTTTTTAAAAAAACAAACAAACATTTTTCTTTACTTACGCTCATAATGTTTAAAATCTTTTACTACCCATTAAACATTTTTCCATCTTGGTGTAAGATGGTTCTTCCCCAATTTCACCCATTCCACACAGTTGGTAGCTAGCAAACCCCTGAAGCCAGGAGTTAAGAAATGCCATTGGATTCTGAATCGCAACAACCTGAATGATCTAAAGACAATTTCTTAATATTTCAAGTTTTGTTTCTCAAATATTTGGTTAATATTAACAAATATAGCCAGAAATTTCCTATGTTAAAATGGCACTTAATTTTTAAAAGTATAAAGCTTTGTTTCTGCAATCTTCCACATACATTACATTGGAACATCATTTTATGTATAAACCAGAGCTAAGTAACCAGTTGGGATTGGATAAATTAGCAGGGTTTGTTCTTACAACAAAAGGGTGGACTAACAATTCTTAAATATTATTTAAAAATCAAATTACAGTACACAAAGGTTAATGATTTACTACACCTTTTATGTGGAAAACTGTTTTTCACATGTAGTACTCAGTTCCAGGTATTTTCCTTTGTTTAATTCCTACCTTAGGATCTGTCAGAGTAAACACCACACTTGAAATTGTTTTTAAAAAATGACCTGATAAGATCTGTTAAATGAGGTGATTTGCGGAACATCATATGTGGTAATATTACTGTATATATCTACCTGTGCCTTTCCAGACTGAAGGGCCAACATATGATATTATAACACCACACACACACAGGGCTCCCACAGGCTACAGTATTTTTATTCTGTTTTCTACTGCTTCACAAAATCTCATGCATCACAACTCAGCTATGCTCTTGCACTCCGAGGGGCCAAGAAGAGGGGAGTTTGCTAGAGTACGGTGGCAAAAATACAAGCACACAATAGAAGTACTGATCCCCATGTTGCCAGCAGGGGTGTTAATGTGAATGTACGAGGGATCTGATTTCCACTTGGAAAGATCGCAGTGTTTAACATTCATAGGCAGTTACAGCTGAGCTGAACAGAAACCGCCTTCCCACATTAAACACTCCATGAACAGCATCCAGCACAGTTATCATATCTGCTTGAAAATGTGTCATACTTACATTTTAGTACAGTATTGTGCTTCTGGGAGATATTTTATTTATTGAGGCAATAGCTCTAAACAGAGATGATATAACCAATTCTCTACAGGAGGCTCAGGCAACTCTCAACCAGGTACTTGAAGGACATAGCGTGTGTGTGTTTTGAAGGGGAGGGAAGTGGGGCTGAGGAGCCACATACTGTACATGTCATGTATTATGTCTCTCTCTCCACCACAAAGCACCGTTCAGTAGTTATGTTAAATATTTCAGATAAATAGTGTTCTAAAAGATTTCACTGAAAAAGAGTTTTCTTAATTATTAAAAAAATTAAAGCCCCTTTGGAATTTCTCTAACGATGCAATATCATGAAATAGAACAAGATGCAGTTCGCTGAAAACCTTGGTGAACAGACACTGTCTAGTGACTCATCAAGCTCTTTACATGACCCTATGTCAGCCTCAGAAACATCAAATGAAGGCTTTGATGCAGGAGATATCAAAGGGGATCTGGCCCCGGCTTATTCTGGGCCAGATGCTGTCCCCCTTACTTGTGTTGAGTAAGAAGTCAATAGGATTCCTTGCAGCATACATGACTGCTAAACAACTGGAAGAGTGGCAGAATCTGGCCTTCAATTCATAGTGTACCGACAATTGGAATTCTTCTCTAGAGAATGTTTGGATTGTATACTGAGGTGGCCAGGGTCCTGATTTTCCAGGAATACCCAGGTTAAACAGGGGCATTTTGGTGGATGTAATTATGCATTGTTTGTATTGCAGTAGTGTCTACAAGCCCCAATCAGGAATCAAGGCCCCGCTGTTTGTATGTACAGCGTCCAATGCAATCAATGAAAAGACAGCTTTTGCCTCCAGAAGAGCTCACAGTGTAAGTAAATGATGAAAGAACACAGGTGGAGATAACAAACAAATAGGGAGAGCACAAAATAATTGACTAATGTAATAACCAGCAGACACAATACACTAACTACTACTAACTACTTGTCTAGCTACTGGCAAGATGAGAGTTGGAGGTAGACTTTTTTTTTTTTTTTAAATTCCCAATTTCAACATAACCACTTGACTTTTGGTTTCCCGTCCAGCAACCCCCAGCACTGAGATGAGCTTGGAATCCAGGTATTACTACTTTGGTTCCTATAGGGCACTTCCCTAGTGACTTCTCATGCAGGTTGATGCAATGGAATCCCAGAAGTGTGACAGATGGCTCCAGACTCACGGAAGTATCCTGGGTTACTTCTGGGAAAAGGGGAGTTGAAATGGGTCAGTTCCTTGAGTTCCTCCCTGAGGCACAACCTCCTTCCCCAAACTCCTCTTGGGGTATCTCCTACTCTGGGTTATGGCCAAATGTCACAATCTAGCCCTAAAATGACAGAGATTTTAGTTATGAGGACACAAGGTAGTTTAACTTGGAGTAAATTGGATATGAAGAAAAAAATTAGGCAACACATCAGGGAAAAAAAGCTCCCTGACAATAATATCCGTGGAATAATCTCCCAGGGAAGTGGTGGAAAGGCCCATCATTTGGAACAATCAAAACCAAAGCTGGCCAAAGCATTAGTGCACTGCAAACAATCTTGCTCTAACTGGGTAACTGAACAAGTCTGTCTCATCTACAACTGCTAGGATGCAACAGAGAAAGTAGATAGGAACAGACCGCTCAGGAGGAATTATAGAGTGAGGCTGACTAGAAATCGACAAAATATAAAATTTTCAATGAATGGAATTTCACTCTCAGATTTTTGTTTTTTTCATGTGATTTTGAATCTCTCAGTTAGTACTTTCTATAGTTTTTTCCTGCAAAATGCTAATTTTCACATAATCTCCCCATATTTTTGCATTTTATCAATGAAATATCTTTCTTTATGGACGATCCAATTTTTTGCTTAAAAACAGGCCCATTTCTTGGCACAAGGGCCTATTGAACACCAAAGCATTGGTATAAACACTTTTTTTTCCATGAATTATTTTTTTTCCCTGCAAATGCTCCAAGTGGCACATTCATAATGGGCAAACATTTGAATGTTGAGTAGCTTTGGCTTTTGTCACAATTATTTTATCCCTCTCTAAAGGTGCCATCCACTGGTGGAGGTGCCTGGACAGCCCATCAAGCAAAGAGGCATTTTTCTTTTTATTTACTGGGTGAACAAGAGCTGGATCTGGCAGGTGGCAGTAACAACCATCCTCTAGAGGAGGACAGCTTTAAACTCTGGGGAGGCTCCAGAGAAACCCCACTGGCAGTGGCTCTTCTGGAAATGTTCTGAATTAAGCCATTCTCCAGGTGCATTGGCCCCAGTCCTCCTCAGGCAAGCCAACTCATTTTGTGCACTGCAGCAGCCAACTCATGACCCTTTGAGCAGCAATTGCAGCAGTTTCTGGTACCGGGCACTGCTCCAGGTGGCCCACCACCTGGGTTGGCCAGCAGAAACCAGGCAGTGAAATCTGGCAAGGCATGCTTATCCCATGCATTAAGAGCTAAAAGAGTTTAGTCTGTGGTTATTTTAGTAGCCATATAGCTCCAGTGTAATTAGATTATGCTTCACGCACAGCTGTTAACCGCTCATGTGCATTTACTTCCTTAAGTGAGCTGGGTCCCTCGTTTCAGCATATTAAATAAGAGCGATAAGTGAAATACAGTTCCTAGATTTTAGCAGGGTGGGTGTCAAAATCAGTAACCAGTCAGTAAAATGGAAATCTGAAACAACAAGGTTAATTTCTGCCCAAATCTGTAATAGAAAAAACAGGTTTTAGATGAGGGGTTTCATCTAGTGGCTCTGTTGCTCATTTCATTGTCACTCTGTAGGTCGGATGGCTGACAGAGATTGTTATAAAAATCCAACTCAAAATATTTTGAAAACTTTGCCTCCACTGCTGAGAAAACTAAATGGTGACTCATGCCCTGGTCACTTCCAGACTCGAATATTGCAATTTAATGGATTCTGAAACGGATATTCCACAGAGACTGCAATTTAGGCATGTTCGCTGCCAAGAGATCACATCAACATGACGTGTTTGCAACACATTTCCCCCATTTCTTTGATCATTGCATTGGCCACAAATTAAATCCCACTTCCTACTGAAGAGCTCACTCTCAACCACTAAAGCAAAGAAAACATTTAACAAGCTTGTTTTTTTACCTCTGCTTGTTCTCCAGTTTCTAGCACGAAGCAGGCCTGTACGTAGTGATGCCTCCTACCACGAGCTCTGGACAGAGTGAGTTAGAAGATGCAATGCACATCAGTTTTGCAGATCACTACTTTTTGTGGTAAATCATGGCACCACTGAGTAATTTTCAATATTTAAAATCAAGGCTAAAAATGTTTTAGCACATATTTATAATTATTTGAGAAGCAAACTGTATTGTTCTGTAGTTTGTTCTGTGTTAAGTGGTAGCTTCAAGGGGTTGTACATGTAGAGCTTGGTAGAAATTGTTTTCTAATAGTTTCGGTGTCTAATATTAATGTTTATGTAATAGCATTTTTTTATCCATTTACATTTCCACAGTTGAACAAAATTACGGGTTTTAAGCATTTAAAAAAATCAATTTAAGTCTTCACACTTGTGCAAAATTAAGGGAGGGTCAGACAACTATTTAATGACAGTAGGCACAGACTCCAAAAGTTAAAGTTTTATAACAGCTAAAACACAAATTGTCAACATCACATGTCAAAATAGACAAAGTAAATATCCTTAAATCAGACTAATAAAATTCTCAAGCAGCATTTTTTCTTACTTTTCCTATCTGTATATTTTGATCATCATCAATGGAAATATTTTTTTGTCGGTTTGTGTGTGTACAGTGGAATTGACATGTACCAACATTTACCCATAATCATCTAATCCTTCAAAGCCTACATATAACCAAAAAGATTTTGATCTAAAGGATCCAAAAGAATTTATATTTGACAACTATTCTTGGTATGCGGTTCAAAGATGAGAAAGTAAAGAGACACCTAAGTATGGTCTCCTAAGAAGGTACAATCTGTACAATCTCGGAGGCTGGATTGACTTCAGAACTCTTGTAATCTGGGCCAGTGGAGATCAGGTTTGTTATGGGTTGGAGAGGACAAACCATCACACTTAAAATAAAACTACTCTTCATCTACTCTCTTAGCATGCTACATAATACAGAGCAGTTTTAGAACAATAGAAGTGCTTCTCAAGTAGCTTTCCTTGCAAGATTACTTCATAGTTTGACAGACAGCTCATTGGAGATGCATAAATGTAACTGAAGGGCAGAGTTTAATATCTTGTCTATTTAATGTGTTTGCAAGAGGCCATGGCTACATGTGGCACTTTATAATAATGGTAATATAATTGAATTTGAATGATAACAAAATGGAGAATTTATGATTTAGCCTCTTATCAGGTAGTAATTCCCCAAATACATCACTCCAGTGCTGCAACATCTATTTAATTGCAAAATAGTTTGCATGACACAAGTTTTAAAAAGTATGATACTGTGATAGTCTGATATGCAGAATTCTGTAGAAGATTATGATTCAATACGAAATGCAATTCAGTGTTTTCTGTATTTCATTTTTTAATGCCAGAATAACATCAAATAAAGAAACAACTCTTCCACATGTGAACTTGCAAACAATTATATATTTTGGACTTGTTTCTCTCTAGAGATGTATGCATACATACACACACAGAGGTATGTATGTATATATACACACAATTTTTGTGTGCTTACTACACACAGTTTTTCATCCTGGTTTCTATCTCACTCCTGCATCAAGATATTCCTGCAGAAAATCATGCACATGTACAACTGAAGGTGAAAATTGTGATTAGGGAGCATACTACAAAGGTTTCCTCTTTCCCTGTTCACCAGAATAATTTATACAAATTTTATATGTATTTTTGTGAAACCAAACTGCTGAATTCTTCTGTTTCTCCTCTGTGGATGGATACAAGTCATCAGTCTCTCCTATGACTGTTGCTCTTTTAGCCTGTGTGCTGCACAAACTAAGCAACTGACACAAAAAGTACAAAACCCAAAAAAGTAGTGGATAACGATTTCAAAAGAATTAGAAAATTATTTGACTTAAACATATTACTTAGGTCATTATACCCTTTTAGCTTTGGCGCTTTGTTTATTCCAACACATAAGAGATGATTAGCTGTTCTGTTAACTCTTGATAGCCAGAGTTGACAATACGACATGTGATTTTTTTTTTTTTTTGCATTGACAGTAATATATGGAGCCTCAGATATACAGAATGTAAGGCATTAATGAGTGAGCAGAATCCTTGAAGTCCTAAACATAGTCCAAAAATCTCATTCATATTAAAAGGAGTTTTATTCTGAATATAGACTGCTGGATTTTTCCCAATAAATGTGAAGCCAAGGCCAAAAACATTCAGAATGTTTTCTAATCCTCTACTTATAAAACAGCACTATATTCAATTAATTTATTTAAATCTGATTACAACTTGCCATATCTTCTGCTTGATTCTCACCTTTCCTGCTACATAAAAACAGGTCTTGAAGTTATTTATAGCCACAAGAAAAGGACTGTCTCTAGACAAAGAACTTTTTTTTCAATTTAATTAGTGAAATATTTTAAAAATTGTTCACACTTTTTTTTTTTATAAAAAGGAACATGCAGAAAATTCTACAACTTCACTGACAAAAGAATGAAACCTCAACTTACAACCCCTCCCCCCCCACCCAAAACACAGACCCAGATGATAAGGAAGTTTGTCTTTCCCCTAATTTCACATTAACAAAACTAAGTCCCATGTGTTCCTTTTATAAAGGCATGTAAGCATAATTGAAGGCATAAAATGAACAGCTAAACCATCTTTAAACATAACAGAATATTTTGGATATGAATAATTAAGTTCCACTAAGTATGGATTTAAAAACTTATTTCAGATTTGCTTTATCTCTCGTTCAGAATAATACATCCAACATTAATTTATGTAAAAACAGGAATTAACATATACCATTTACGCTGCTCTAAACCATCACTAATTACACTAAAGGATCTAACAAAATTCTCTGGAAAATAGTCTTAAGAATATTTTTAACACAATAAAATTATAACAAAGAGACATTTTCAACGGAATCTAAACTAGTTGTTGCATTTATTGAAGGCGTTAGATTCAGTACATAGAGGTAGATCAGTTGGAATATTAGCAGTGTATTGACTGTTTAGAGAGGACACAATCAATAAAGGGGGGAAAAGCAATTGTGTGTGCTAGAATTCTTTTAATAATTTATAACAGTCAACCACAAACTCATGCTGTCTTTGGGCTTGATTCAATGCCTATTAAAGCCAACAGAAAAATTCACTGATCTCAACTGGAGCTGGATCAGGCCTTTTTATACTTTGAGGGTTCAGAGACAGATTCATGGAAACAAAACAAAAAGGCTATAATGGAACTGTGCCCTTTAGCTAACCCTTGGCTGCTCTCAGTGTTCTTAAGCATTAGGTAAAGGAATTTTGATGCATATGGAGCCACTTTATGTTAAACATTTGATAAAGTGAAGCTTATGATTTGGAACTAAAAACTTATGTTTGATCTACTTTCATAACTGGGTTTGAGCACACCTCTAAAGGCACACTTATCAAAAACATCTTTGAGCTCACTGGCCACTGCTCTGTGCATTATTTGCAGCTGAAAAGAAGCTTAGATAATACAGGCCCAATCTTGGAAGGCGCTGAGCACCCTCAACTCTCATTCGTGTTTAGTTTCATTGGTTCAACTCTAGTTAATGGAAACTGAGGGCGTCAGCACCTTGCAGAATCTTTGTTGCTTGCATGTTTTATGATCAGGGATTGATGATTTCAAAACACATCACTGACAGCCAGTAATAATGTCTGATATTTTAATCTCAGTGGCAATGGAGCAGCCTACTACAGACCTCTGCTAACACAAGGCATCTCTGCTTGGCACCAAATGGAATCCTCTTATGTTAAACCAACAGGAGAGATACAGCGAAAAATAACAGGAACAACAGGAGAGATACAGCGAAAAATAATTTGACAAACACATGGGGACATGCATCCCAAGCATCTTAAGACAGATCGACAGCTGGTATAAAATCTTCATAGCTCAATGGAGCTATGGCAGAGAAACTGAGGATCTTCCCCTTTGTGTTTGCAGTTACTGCTTGCAATGCAATTGAATGCAAGGGGAATAGCGACATACAGGATACCTCTGAACTCTGTACTTTTATCTATCTTATTGTTTGAAGTTTTCTTTTTTTCTCTTTTATTTTTTAATGGACAGTCACCACCACAATTCCAGCAGAGAGGTACATCTTAAAATTCATGTTAATGCACCCATTCTAATTGCCTGACATTTTGAATAAGGTGCTTGTTGTGTGTTCAACTATATACCTGTTCTCCATGTATCCTTGGTCCCTTTTCTCTGTTTATTAAAAAAAAATTCTATATTTTTAAAGAAAATATTTGCAATTGATTGTAAAATTAACCATGATAATGTTTTTATTGTTAGAAGCATCCTTCTTAATTTGTCTTACAACCTTCTCAATTAGAGAAAAAAACTGTCAACTTTCTTGTCCTCATGAGGTTTATTAACATGGCAATATATAACTTAGTTTTGCTTTCACTATGGTAAAGATTCTATTTTAAAAATAGCAACTAAATCCTATCACTGCAAATCTCTGTGTTGCATTTGGGAGAAAGAACAGAAAAAAAGAAAAAAAAAAGTGTTCACCTTGGATAAATAATAAAAAAAACCCCTCTTAGTTGCAAAACACAAATATTTCACTCATAACCCAAGCACCAGACCATTTCTTTGAAGAAGCTTATGATGCACTTAAGACATACAATGCCACAATATCATAATACAGAACTGAAAGAAATTTCTTGAGAAACCATTAACTTTGAAGGAATGTCTAGACAACTGTGTCAAGAAATGCAAATAATTTATGCTTCTCAGCTCCTACCCAATGGATGGCCCCATGCTGAGTGTACACAAACTCAGAAGAAAAAGGCATGTCACAGCCATATGACTAGGGAGGAGAAGAGAATCGCATAGAAATTCAAGTTAATCTTGAACAGAACTTCAGAAAGCACTTCTCTAAAGTTAGCCAGCATAGCCCCTGGTCATTTTAGCTAGTTTAAAACACTAACTTACAGGTGGTGCATCCTAGCTTCAAATGAGAGGTGATGAAGGGAACACAGCTTTTAATTATTATGATAATTCGTTCTGTTAGAAAAATAAAAACTAAATGACTACAAAATACTGTACAACCTCTTGCAGTAACTAACAAAGTGGCTTCTGGAATCAATGCTTTTGCCAAAAATGCATTTTTAAGGCACTTAAACAGGTATCTCTTATTTATTATATATAGAAAAATAAAATATGCGCTAAAGCAACATTCACAAATACCAGTCTTCTCAATTGTCTCTGTGTGTACAGTATAGTACATATATACATTCACTGTGACACGGACTGCTTCCATTGTTATACCTTCACAGGTGCTTTGGGCTGTCTTGTTAATTTCAGTGCCTGCAAACATGAAACAAAGCAGTCATTTATTGCGTTGCTAAAGACTATAACCAAATACAAGGCAAGCTTTTATTTTAGTGGGTGCAAAGGGTTCAGTATATATCCAGGTGGCTCTGAGAAGCCATATTATCCAGCTTTATTACAGTTTATAACTGAAAGGTTCTAAGTCGTTTCCACTCAGTTACAGAGTCAAGTTTTTTGTGCTGTGAAGGATTTTCATCTTACCTGGAAAATAAAATCACTTGACTCTAAACTGAGCTGTGCGCCTCTGTGGAGGCAGAGTAGCAGCTGGAGGGGGCAAATGCAAACTCCTCTCTACTTGCATTTCAGTCACTGTCACTCACTGAGGTGCTGGGGAGTTTAGTGTTACAACTTTTGACTAGTACCTGTGTCCTTCCTGAGTGGCAAAGCCCAGCAGGAGAGCACTGGAACTGTTGGAGGAGACTGTCAAAGCATCTCTGCTGGTGGGCTGAGATTCAGCTATCCATAAGAGAGCAACTGGTAGGCTCTGCTCAAGAAATTATCTTGTGAGGCAGATAATCCAATTATTGACCTGTTTTAAATTCCCTTTTTGGGGACAGATTGTTGAGAAGGTTAAGGAGAGGCTATTCAGATAATATCTGGAGTCCTCACATTCCCTTGACTTCTGATCATTAGGTTTCAGGACTGATTATAGTACAGAAATTGTACCAGTTGCATTGACTGGTGATCAAATATCACTGTTTCCTTTCCGAGAAGTCCCAGATGGTAACAATAAGCAAATAAGTTACCAGTCCTGAGGCCTCTCACACAGTAGTTTTAAATATATTTAATGTCTGTATCAGTTTCTACAGCTTGTCAACCACCCCATTAAATACTTATACAAGACTAGATGCCGCCAATATGCTGACAACACCCAGCTCTACATTATCTTGGTGCATGACCCAACGAGTGAAGTCGAGCAAATTAGTCCTTGTCTAGCTGAGGCTCAACTCATACAAAGCGGAGATAGTGCTTGTAGGTTGGTGGGGAGAAGACCTCTTGTTTTAGGGAGTACACGTAGCGGTTTGTCCTCCAACTTGCAGTGTTGGTGCTGGATTAGACTGTAACTGCTCCTGGATGCTCACATAGTAGCTGTGAAGAACGCTTTCTTTCAGCTGCATTTGTCGGAGAAGCATGGCTTCTTCTCTTGAGTGTAGACCCTATTTATTTAGCCATGCCTCTGTCCTGGGGAGATAAAATTGCTGCAATGCACCCTACATGCCACTTAATGTGGTTGTCTATTTATTAAGTAGTGTGTCCTCTGGCACATTACACCAGTGCTCTGTGATCTATACAAGCTTCCAATCAGCTTCTAGATGAAATATAAAGTGTTGAAAAAAAGCTTTACATGACCTGATTACTTGAGAGGCAAGCTCTTTCCTGTGGTATAAGTCTGAAATTTCTATCCGGGATGGTGCTAGTCCTAATAGCCCATTGTTTTATAAAGGGGGAGGGAGGGAGGACATTTTCTAAGAGAAGTTCTGAACTCTGGAAGTTAACTCACAACTCCTATAGGTCCTAGAGAGATGGGATTTGCTGACCCTTATCAGAGAACAGTCATGCTTTTTCCTGGGCTTATCCTGAAGGGGTACTTTAACAGATGTAAGTTGGTATGAGGATGGAGACTATTATTTTGCGGTGGGTTGATTAAATAAGAGAATTATATTTTGAGAGATGTAATTTGGTGGGTCTTTGCAAATATCTGTCCTTTAGTTTTATACATTTTTCAAGCCTGTAAAAGCTCCTTGGCAAATGTTATTTAAAACCAACATAAAAAAATTCCTTAAAAATAAATTGGGCATAGGTAATACCATGTCTCCCAACAACTATCAGCATTTAACAACTGCCAAAATTTAGCCATTAGAAACTGTACTCTTGGATATTATATACCAAGGGGTTCAGGAGAGAGAGACAATTTCACATTTTGTTTGGGTAACAATTTCTTTTACTTTGTAGTTTGGCAGATTTTGCTGCCATATTTACAAGCTAGAAATATCCTACTGCAGATGAACCTCTAAATATTTAAATTCAATTTCATACAAGCAGATCACATGTACTATCATAATTAAGCAAGAATGTCAGTGGAACTGAGAACTGTGACTGGATAACCGTCTCCCACTGCAAGAGAAATGCCAAAGTGAAGCCAAGGTGTTTATAGAAAATAAACATCAAGGTGATGATGACATGTTTATTTTCAAAGCGGGAGACCATTATCCAGTCACAACATTCAGTTCTATTGTAATTATTGCATCTGTACCAAAAACTTCATTGATTTTAAAAAAATAGAGTAATTAAAATAATATTCATGTGAATAACCCAGGAGACCAAGTGAAATATATTGGTGCAGCAGAATGACAGTTTCTCAAAATATCTTTATTGCAGCATTATAGTCTGAGTAGATGACTTGTCTGGTACTTAATGAATAAGAAACTAGTGCTTGGTGCACCTCCAAAGGAGGTGCAATGGTGGTTCCATATCACTTTTGCTCTCCCCCAGTCTTGTACCCTGCCTGAAGGCTACTGTAACTTGCAACTGACAACAGCCTCAAGAGGCCTTTACTACAAGTGGAGATCACAGATGTGCAGATTAGCTCCAGCCATACTCCCTATCCTGGCCACAGGGAAGAGAGAGGTGATACTAAAGCTGTAATGCCCTAGCAGTGTGGGTGATCATACTCTGGCCAGAGATGCCAGTTTAACTGGGCTTTTTTCAGGACTAGCACAAAGTTAGACCCAAGCACAGCTGAAGATCAGGACTACTGTACTTTTATTGATAAAGTCTGCCTGAAAGGGCTTTTTTAGGGGATGAAATTTTCAATCTGAGTTTTAGGCCATGATTTTCAAAAGTGACTAGTGATTTTGGGTTCCCAACCTGAGATGCCTTAAAGTGGCCTGACTTTTAGACAGTGCTGAGGATCCACTCTCTGGAAATTGGCACCGTTTGAGGTGTCTCAAGTTAGAAAACCAAAACCCGAGGCACCCCAAATCACTAGTTTGAAAATCCTAGCCTCAGAGTTTGACACGGGCGTTGGACTGACAGCAGTGGAGGCTGATGGCCTCTTTGGCTGCTGACTCAACAACCCCAACATTTTTGTTGAAAATTTGAAATTCTGAAAATTTCAGTCAGCTTTCTTCTCTGCCTACTGAGGAGGCTTAGGCAGTGGCAGTGTAAGCTTTCCCACACTGTGCTGTAATGTACCTCAACTTTCACCTACAAGGACTCCCTGTATGGGTGAGAGTTTCCCAGTCTCCATATCCATTCAATCCTTGTCATCTCTGCTAACCAGAGGTGCCAATTAGTGTCCATCACAAGGATTTGTTTCTCTGGTGTTGTTATTTCTATCTTAAGAACTGGACAGACACCACTAAACCTATTTCACATGGACCACTGAACAGCTGTCAAATGGTAATAGCACCAATCACTGCTATAATAAACTGAATTTGACCCAGTGACTTGGAGATGAAAAACCTCTCTGTATCATGTTGCAGCCCTATGAACCAGCCAATGCTATATTTTTGTTTTTAAAACTTGACATGAAATACCAGTCATCCACCTAGTAATCTGTATATTTTTCACAAAGTATAAAGGACAACATAATGTTAGAAAACAATGAAAGCTTTAGTCTTGAATGATTTTAATTCATTGCATACAGGGCTCTTGTTTAAAAACAACAACAAAACCCAGCATATACACAAGATCTCAAAATGATAGATATATGAAATCTCACCAGAAGAGAAATTCCAAAGCTAGCTTTATTTGATAGAGATTGGCTCATGCTGTTAAATTCAGATCTATGAAGGGCCTTCTTATTGGGGGTTTTCTGAGTCAGGTGCCTGGCTTGCTAAGGAGCAAGGAGCCAGCTGCAGAGGTCTGATCTGGATCTGAACTTCTCAAAAATCTGGGATGTTTGAATCCTGGGTTTTCATTCAGTCTTATTTTGAATATCAACACCATAAAACAAGAAAGGAACAAAGGAAACCCCTAGCCCAGGATCTACAAGAACAATGAAGGGTTTCAGAGTTACATTTACTTAGTTATTTTTCTTACATTTAAAAAGAAGTACTCTGCATTATAAATATGTCTGTGGGTGCAATTTCTTACCTTCTGTCTAGAAACCATCCAAGATTTTATTGTTGGTACCAACACACTGCCAAGAAGAATCTGAGCTGGGTGATAGATAAGTAAGGGGACGGAAATTAACGACAGGTGCTCATAGCCGGAAAATACTATCTTCAGCATTGGAATCCCTGTGGACACAAAGACAGCAGACTTAAGACTCCAACTTTGCTTTTCATTTCAAGGATCACAGCAAAACCTTTTACATTTTACTAAGATTTCAACTAGAGAAAAAGAACATTTCTGCAAGAATGAAGACACAGAAGAATCTTGTGAAAGGCAAAAAAAAAAGGTTATTACACAACAACTCCACTGCAGAGGACCCTTTCCTCCTCTGGCAAAGCTTTAGAATACCAGAAAGGCTTGAAACAGAAGTTCCCTAATTAAGTGGAGTGATGCCAAGCTCCAGCCAGAGGCTTGATGCAGATTTGCCTTGATGGAGAGTGATTGTACAGGTGCAGGAGGGAGTCTTGGATTTTTTTTATTTTTTTTCTCTCCTTTGCTCTATCCTCATTTTTCTCACTTGTTCCCTATGAACCTGCCCATTTGCTCCCATTCATAATCTTCCTCAAGTCCTACCAGCTGTGTGGGAGCACTGTGCACCTACAAACTCCTGATCCACTCCCTTTTCATAGAGAAGTGTTCAATCATCAGCCTTCCCTGCTCTGACTGATGCTTATGGCTCAGATGGAGCCAAGTGCCTGTCAAAGGGAATATTCATTTGTTAGCGAGATAGTATCACTTCCCACTCTAGCAATGAGTTTCTGAAGAAAGGGAGGAAGACAAAAGTCCTAATGAATTAAAGGGGCAGAACAAATCAGCTGAAGTAGTTAGTGGAGAACTAGGAAATGGTTAGAGTACAGAGGAGGCTGGCGGTTGGGAGGAGTGGAAGTAAAGTCCCAAATGTAGGACATCTTTCCTAGGAGACTTAGTTTGAGCTCAGCAGTGCTATTTCTATTACAGTTTCCCAAGGAGAATCTTGATAGATAATGAATTTGTATGTCTCTGTCTGACTCAGCCATTATATACTAAAACAAGGTATCTTTTTAAATACTTGTTCTGTAAAATAAGTTTATATAATCTGAGAGGATCTCTTTTTATGGAATGTTTTTCCATATAGGGCTGGAAATAAAACACAAAACTCTTCACCTTTAGGTCACTGATTCAACTCTAGGGAAAGGATGGCAGGGATGAGATCTGCGAAACTTTCATTACAAAACCCGCATAGGTGAAATTTTTATCATAAACCCAAGCTTGGGTTTGTAGAGGCTGGCAAATCTCAGGTGAGTTTGGAGGAAACATGAACCATCTGAACATAAGAATAGCCCTACTGAGTCAGACTAAAGGTCCATGTCTTCTGAGAGTAGCCAGTGCCTGATGCCCCAGAGGAAATGAACAGAACAGGTAATCATAAAGTGATCCATCCCCTCACTCATTCCCAGCTTCTGGCAACCAGAGGCTAGGGACACCATCCCTGCCCATCCTGGCTAATAGCCATTGATGGACCTATCCTCCATGAATGTACCTAGTTCTTTTTTGAACCCTGTTATGGTCTTGGCCATGACAAGCGGCTCCTCCCCAGCACTGCACACAAGTATGTTTAGATGTCTTAAGAGGTCTACAACCATCACACCCGGCAGGCAATTCACCACATTGTTCTCCTGGCCATCACAAACCCATCTATCTACGTTCCTAATAACCAAAGCCTCCATGACTATTACCTGTCTCTTCCCAATAACTGGGGTCCCCTCCTCTGGAGGGATCTCCTCAATGCGAGGACACCGTGACACCATCTGGAAGGAGGGTCCCAACTATGAGATTGTTTTCCTCCATCCCAGCTTGATGTTCTCCTTCTGAGACGTTCAACCTTCTCAACAGCCCAGCGGTTGTCAGAGTGGGGATGGGACTGCTCTGCCATGTCCCTGAAAGTCACCTCTGTGAACCCCTCTGTCTCCCTTTGCTCCTCCAGTTCAGCCACTCTAGTCTCCAGAGCCCATAGTTGGTCTCTGAAGGCCAGGAGCTACCTGCACTGAATGCACACGTATGCCACAATCGTGCATGCAGCATTCAGTGCAATAAACTGGATATCCTCCCCCGCCCCCACTCTGCTGCTGAACTTCTGCCGGCGTTCTTTTACTCTTACTCTTGCAGGATTTTTTTGTTTTTATTCTTCATTGGGGTGGGTAGTGTTATCGGTCTAAGTTTAAAGAATGTTTGTTAGGTGCCTCTCACACATGCACACCTTACACTCCCTCGCAAAAGTCCCCTGTCTGCTAGCTCCTCTGGTCGCTTAGGAGCTGGTTTCTTAAACACCTCTTCTCTTCACTCTCATCTGGATGGTGGGAGTCTAAATGAACCAAAATCAAGAAGTTTGGACAAACTGCCATGAGCCAAACCTGCAAAGCTCCACAGAGGTCTAGCAGAGAATGTAAGAGATCACACCATCTGATGGCTATTCAATGACTTATGTGTAATGAGCTGCTGATGTGAATTCCGTCCCCAGTGGACAAGTGGCCACATCACACAAATCATCTGCAGAATTAACACTACTAATGGTAGCCTAAAAAGAGAAATGAAGGCATGAACATGTCACTAGAAGGTCAACCACATGCTCCCCCGTTAGTGGGTCTGGCCATGGTTGCGGTTCATTGACAGGGCAGTGTGGGGAAACTTGGACTGATGCTGTCTGTGCTCTCCCATGCCGATACAGAAAGATACAGGATATCTTTAAGACCTCAGCCTATCATCTTTCAGAAGCACTTCATGGTTACTTACCATTTAAAAGAATACGTTATTTTGTGTAAAGATGATATAGAATGAAGTTATCCAGGTGTTTTCTTCAAACACATCATTGTTCAAAATGTTTCTTTTAAGACACAGAAAATTATTACTATGCTCCACCAAACAAGGGTGCAGACAGAACATGTAACAGATCAGTGCCTTGTTTGGACCATAGAGAGGATTACACATGAAAGTACCAGCTATTCCCTAGGGGAGCCTTGAGAATTCATCCTATTTTATTCCTGATTTAAATGTCACTCCAGGGGACTCACACTTTGGCCTTCATCCTTCCAGACAAGGTGGGCTGGACTCTTCTTTCTGAGTCCATCTATGTGGCTTCTTAATTGGCCAGAGCAACACTACTGAGCTGGTGAGACACTTCTTCACTCCCACCAGCTGATGGCTTGGATCCACCAAAATTACTGCTTCTAAAAAACACTAACATCCCCCTTCATTCGCGAACTCTTCCTCTTACTGGCCTCCCGGACCAAGTACTGTCTCCCTCCCTAGTTAGGCAGCATAAAACCTACTTGCCCCACATTCACAGCTCCAGCTAATCCTGATCCATGCGTGATGCTCTATCCAAAGATGCTGCCCGAACTCATCCTTATTCACGGTGCCTCCACAGCACGCCTCAGGAGCTCCTTTTAATCCAGATTGTCAGTTTCTTTACACAAAATCACTAATACTGGTTCCAGTCCTTCAAGACCATACTCATAACTAGCAGTCTTTACTCATGTGAGTATACCCAGTGAAAAACCACTAACATAATAAGGGTCTGCAGGACTGGGTCCAATATTATTAAACAAACACCTTCAAACAACATTATGGGTCTGTCATCAACCTAAAAGGGGGAGACATTTAAAGTTGGTTTTGTTGTGCCATATCTCAATTAAAAGGATGCGAGTCCTGCTGGACTTCTGAAAGGCCTGGAGGATTCATGGTAATCTGCAGTGGAAAGGGAGCTCGCCACACAGTGCAGGGATGAAAGATCTTTCAAGGACTTTCTGAGGCTAGTGAATACACTATATTTGGATAGAGTCATATGATGGATACTTGCATTGCAAAGGAGTATACTTTGCTACACATGCCCACCATGCTGTTTTTGCACACTGGAAACAGTTTTATTGCATAACAATTTGCCATCCCAAACTTCAGAACTTGAAGCATAAAAAAAAAGGTATGGTCCTCTAAATACAAGAAAGCAATCTGAAAAATGACTTACTTGCTGAACGCACTACATTCAACTTGATGATGATGATTATAATAATACTGTACTTAGCATTTAGGTAGCACAGTTTCATCCAGAGATCTGAATGCACTTTACAAAGGTGAATAAGCCCCATTCTCCATATTTACATATGGAGAAATTAAGACAGAGAGCTTTAATGGCTAGCCTAAGGTCACACAGGAAACTAACGGCAGAAGCAGAACTAGAACCCTGACTCCCAATTCTGTCCCAGATCCAAAGTGACGGACATGTTCTTCAAAGTCCTGGGTTGAGAATAAACATGAGAAATGTTAGCCTAAAAGTTGATTTTTTGGGGGAAAAGCTATGAGTCAGTAAAAACTGGGAAGTAAAATGAAGACTGTCATCCATAACTACGAAGTATTGTAACTAGTGTGACAATATAATTAGATTGTTGGGTACTAAGTGATCCTTAATTCATGGATTGTTTAGATACATGTCAAAACAGTAGCTCTTTGTGAGCCATTAATGTGCAATTAGAGTAAAGTTTCATAATTTAACAGGAAAAGCTGACTGGGGATGGAGTAAATTTTCAGGTATGCATTAATTAAGAAAAAATCCTGTTCATTTTTTATGCAGCTCCCACTTACTGCAAACCCAGCCTTTGCCACCTTTTATGTGTTTGTACTAAATATGGAATTGGGGAGTAACACAGACTGGATGCTCAGAAACTCATGTTAGTAATGGTGAAAACAAAGTGTTGGAAGTTTGGCTTTTCATTGGCTAAAAATTACTCCCTAAATTAAAAAAAAAAAAAGATAAATAGAAATGTTTGTGTGTAATGTGCCAAACAATACTTAAAATGCCTTCTATCTCACTAAGAGTCTATAGGACTGTAGCTGTAGTTCTATGTAAAACGTAGCCATTTATAAAATAAAAGTATCCAGAGATGTTATTGTATACCACGTAAGAAAATCTTGCAAACCCTTAATTAGGAAAAAAATACATAATTTTTAAGGTAAAAAAGAAGAAAGACTCAAATTGGAAACCTGTTACATTATTTTGTTTTGCTCTCCTATAACAAAGAGCAAAACTTTTTAAAATAAACAAGCAAACAAAGAGAGCCCCCATCTTGATTCCTGGGCTGAGGATGTATGCGAA